CTCTCTCTCTCTCTCTCTCTCTCTCTCTCTCTCTCTACCCTTTTTCTTTTTGCACATCTCTATATGTTGACCGGCAAGTTTCTGTCCAAAGAATTCTACAAAGTGTCCTCAAATGCACACAGCCAACCTGTCATCACACTCCTCCCTTCCTCCTCCTCCTCCTCCTCCTCCTCCTTCCCCCTGCCTTCTGCATGTATCGCCTTTGTTGCCAACGTGGTGTTTCACCATCCAGAGGATATTATACCCTGATTCCCGACCCCCGCTGTCCTCCAGCGCGGTCAACCGTTGAAAAAAAAGAGATTTTACTTCTGAAATTTCAATCCCATTTCCATTTAAAATTTTAAATCGTTTCCGGCCACTCCTCATCACCAATGTTTGGCACTGTCATTCTTCTGTTCCTCCCCCCTTGCAGCTGCCCCACAGGCGGCACCCCTGATTTCCTCTTATCAGAACCGTTTGGCAGCTAAGAGAGCTGTCTCAATCTTGTAATTCAGTCATTCCTGTAGCGTTGGTGCTGAAAAGAGGCCCTATGCAGAATGCTTTGCCACGATGCCTCCTCACACGTTCGCAGGACCCCTCCTGCCGAGAGGCGTAAGCCGAAAGGTACTCCTTGATATGCTCTCGATCACACATGTATCAGAGAGTGTGACAGCTCATTTTTTCGACTACTTGAGAGCCGACCAATTGGCAATCAGATGCACAGCTCCTCCTCCTCCTCGTTATTTTCCCTCCTCTCCGACTCCATCTCCTGTAATCCCCATGATCGCAGCTGACATGCTCGAGCTTTGGCTCCCTTCTTGTTGCTCTGAAAGTTATCTCTTGACCAGCGAAGAGCTCTCGCAAGCCAAGCGATGCGACTGCATGGCGCCTTCTCCCCATCTCTAACCCTTTCCTTACCCGATCCCTCACAATCCCTTTGACACCACCATTCTTTTGCTTCCTGCTACTCTGCCCCAACAACTTCTTTTTTTTTTTTTTTCCAACAACAATCCTACATGTCTTGTTCTGTGTTCTCTCTTACATGTGGGGCACTGGGCAGCGTCCAACATTGTATTCACCTGACTCTGCCAGGACTCGAACTCGTGACACGTCTGCTTATCGACAGTTACAAGCGGATACAATTCAACCACACAGGCCAGGTGTCTTGCTCGTTCTTCGGAATTAGGGTTTTGAGTAAGCTGCAAACCTAAACCCTAAACGCTATAGGGTCCACACCCTAAAGGCCCTAAACCAAGAACCCTAAGCCCAAAATCCAATACTGAAAACTCCAGGTGGGAAAGAGTGTTCCCCTGTCCTACTAGATGTCAAAAAGTCTCTTTCCTTTTTCCTTCTTTTTTTTTTTTTTTAACAGGGCCTTATGGACCTGGCTCCTTCTATTCTGGGGAGCGTCAGTCCGATTCCTATTCCCCCGGCAAGTCAAAATACATTACAGCAATTACCCATCACACACGCTTCCTTCCGTCAGGCCGAAGGACCCCTGAGCAGCATTGATTGCTCCTCTACGGGAGGATTGACTGTCAGCTTGCCTTGTCCCTCTTTCCTTTTTCCATTTTTCAGTTTTTTCAACTTTTTTGCTTATCGTCCTTGCACAGGGTCAGTGCAATTTCCTTTGTATTCTTCCAACTCTAACAGAACAGAATAACCTGATGCGCGCACCTAACTTGGTGAACTTGATGACATCAGTCTGGAGACTCTGGAGACTCTGGACCACACAAATGGCCGTCGGTTTTTGAGAATCAAATCCTCTGGAGANGACCACACAAATGGCCGTCGGTTTTTGAGAATCAAATCCTCTGGAGAATAAAAGCAAAAAAGCAATCCAACCGACCGACTGCCGAATCCGTCGCTTGTATCAAGTTTGGCTTCTCCAATACATCCCTTTTTCCCCTTGCAAGTTGCAACTTCTCCCAACTACAATGACTTCTAAACTCAAAAAAATTCACTTGCGTGTCCTGCTCCAACGCCAGTTCCGATAACAGTGATAGGACTAAGAAGCCAGATGGACTGGAATTTTCGTTAAGGTATTCGTTGGGAGAGATGATGACCATGACCGAAGAGTAAACAAACTATGAAAAAGTGAAAAAAAAGTTATAAGAAAAGAAAGTAAAATCAACTTCACATAACTTGTCCGATTTTTAAAAAAAGCAGGAAAGAGATATATAGCCTAGTTCGCTGCACCGACAAATGATCAGTATTGAGTTTGATGGTCCAAGAGTTTTGCCGTTTGCTGATGCAAACATTTTATAGTATTATAAGCTGCGATGTTTTCCAAAAAAGAAAAATTGCACCGAAAAAAGTCAACGAGGCCCCATTCTAGCAGTGGTTAGTGAGCATAATGAGACAGCGGACTTACCACTTGTAGTATGTTGAACGCATAGGACGTGGGCTCGATCCTACGAACCATCACACCCTATCACAATCAGAGCCACACGCATATACAGAAAAAAAGCCCATTAGAACTTGCACGAGCATAATTGCATTGAGATCTTCCCTGCCCTCAACCTGTTCTTGCAAGAAGTCCTCTAATCCCCTTCTCCCATACCGTAGAGGTAAACGTGGGTGTGAGAGAGATCGGCGCATGTGAATGTTTTCGCCCCTTGTTAGGGTTTAGGGTTTAGGGTGTAGGGTTTAGGGTTTAGTTGAGCTCGGACTTCTTTTTTTTTTTTTTTGAAAACACAAGCTCCATCTATTGGTGGGGAGTCGGACTGCGGTCGGTCACATCCAAACATTTGTGTGACTACATGTTCCACCCTGTTAGCAAATTCTTCTGCTTGCATTCTATTCCCTAGCCCAGAATCCCAGAACGAACAATTTCGCTTCTTTTCAGGACATATGATTCACCTGCAGCTCATCTGAGTTGATCTAACCACAATCCTTTTACAGTGATATTTGCTGCAACTAAATTGAACATGCAGTGTTTGTTTGACGCTCCTCTTGCTGTCTTTGACTTCCTGCTCTGCAGTGTTGAGATGAACTAGGTACAAGAAAACACATCCATGACCTCTCTCTCTCTCTCTCTCTCTCTCTCTCTCTCTCTCTCTCTCTCTCTCTCTCTCTCTCT